ATCTGCACATGCGTGAAAATCAAGCTTTTAAAAAATGGCTGTCAAAAAAACAAGTAGTCATTGAAATGTGTTATGCTCATGCTAAAATGTATGCCTAACTATACACATTAAAGCTTGCAAGTATTGTTTAAAAGGCTGTAAGCCTTAAGTGAGAAAAGAGCAAATGAACTTTCTGCCCTGTTTAACCGTTCCAATGGAATTTATAGGCTTGAACCTTGGCGACAAAAACACCAATGCAAACATCTATTAAGTTCACCCAAAGACAGAAAGAAGAAATGCGGTTGCAACCTCTGTTCATTTTTCACAATTTCCCGACAAAAAAAAAAAGATACAGACGGCTGTAAAAGACAGACTAAAATTGTACATTTCCTGAGCATTTCCTGAGCATTTCCAGGGAACAGACAGAGGCTAAGTATGGTAAGCAACGAGTGGACAGCAAGTCCAATGGAAAGACAGAACGTGAAATCATTTTCAAGTCACTGTCACCTTTTAAATCCTGAAACATTTCCACATTGTCTTGGTGTTAAATATTATTACGCCATCGAATTGGCGATCGATACCCTTAGTCACAGGTGTCAAACTCAGGGCTCGGGGCCAGATCTGACCCGGCACATCAATTTATGTGGTCGGCCAAAGCAAATTATGTGCATCCACTTCATATTTCTTGCGGAAATACCAAAATTGCAAACTGTCTTCACTTTTAAAAATGCTGAGATATTGCAAGCATTTTGGTTCCCAATCCCACTTTTTAAAATAAATGTAATAATATTTGAATAAAAAAGTTTTTATTGGCCTCTGATTTCAAAACTAGTTTTTCACCAATTTGTCGTGTAGCCCACACGTAATATGAGACGGTTCTACATCAATTTGGGTTCATAGTTGTAACGGCCCTCCGTAGGAAACCATAACTATGATGTGGCCCATGACGTAAATGAGTTTGACACCCCTGCTTAAGTGTTTCACTGTCTTCAGATCACTTCATTCACATTGGTTATGTGGTCAAAACAACACTTCCGTTCATGCAATTTGTGGTTTGCTAGCAGCGTTGGGAGCAATGCATTACAAAACTAGTGATTTACTGAGGCATTACATTTGTCAGCAAAGAAGCAATTCAACATAGAGTATTATAGGAAACTAACGTGTGCGACAAAGTCATTGTGTTATGTTCTATTAGCCCCATGCATTGGGGCCAAGCACCTCAGCCATTGATTCAGAGCTTGCTTCCAGCCCTTGACCCATCACTAAGGAAAGGTCCTACCTGTCTCTTCCCCAGTGTCACTCCTTTTGGTCCCGGTACAATACCCGTATTGAGCCAAATGTCATTAAACACTTGACTACCGGTAAGCTTCATAATAGTGTCCCAGCAGAGAGTGGCCATTGTACTGCATATGAAATGACACAGGCTGTGCATTTTCCGGTGGTCGAAATGGTCCAAGACACAGTTTTATTTGTTGTTTTCCACTATTTATGAATACCATTTGGTAGCCCAAAAAAAATCACATTACCCATAATGCGCCCGTGACCCGAAACCTGCAAGTCATTTATTATTAATTTTCAGACACAGTGCTACTATAATCTGTTTTAAACATCCAGTTTGATGAAAGGTAACCCCTTTAGCGCCAAAGTAGCAAAATTGCACCAGCCAACATTTATAGTATGCCTTTATCTGTAACCATTTTCAAGCTACAAGCTTTTGAAACCGTGATATCAAAACTGAATATTTTGTTGAAAAAAAATTCTGGCGCCTGAAGGGTTCAGATAAGATATTTCAGGCATGCCTCTTACGTACTGTAAACAAGTGATAACAAACACCAATGACAAATTTGTTAAGCTGCATCCTTTAATTAACCTTGTCCATCCATCAGCTGTATTGAAATTGTCTTTTATGTTCAGATGCGGGCAATCCAGTTTACATGTATGAATTTGGATATCGTGCTGCCGTGCACAAAGGCTCCAGACCCACTTTCGTGAAGGCAGATCATGGTGACGATGTCGGCTTTGTGTTTGGTGGATGTTTCTGGAGTGGAATTGTAAAAATGATTGGTATGTTGCATATTCTATACAACCTTGAATTCATAAAATACTATAAAACAGGGGTGTCCAAGTCCGGTCCTTAAGATCCCCTATCCAGCCTCTTTTAGATGTCTCTCTTCTCCAAAATAGTTGGAGGAGAAACACATTTAAAATAGACTGATGAGGGGCTCTCTATAGAACCACACTTTCAATGAATGAAGTAATTGTTCGGAGGTGCTGTTGATGCCGAAAATAACATTTACTTCTCACATGCACCCACAAACCTCTCACAGTCTCTTACCTTTTTAGTATGCGGGTGGTGGGGGTAGTTGCTGTGAGAAAGTTGTTGGTTTTTTTGGGGGTTTTTTGTGAGTGATGGTTATTTTGGTGTATGTGACATGTTTTTGCAGTTGAGAGGATTTTGTGATGAGTGTAATAATTTTTGGGGGTGGAGAATGTGAGAGGTAAATGTTATGTTTGGCTCATCGGATCGTTGTCCATATGACTTATCTGATTCCCTTGGATGTATTTTCAGGAAATATTACCACAGAGGATGAACAACATTGTTTAACGATAATGAAATACTGGGCCAATTTTGTCCGTGCTGGGTAAGTAAGAATGACATAAAGCTAAATAGCTTTTCATCTATGTATTTATTTATCAAGCTTCCATTATCCTCATGGTAACAATTTCTTGGTGTGTATCTATGACCGCTTGAACATCCAAACAGAGAAAAGAAACATCAGCAGTCTCAAAAGAAACATGAACACTAAAGTGATGGACAGGAGTACATGCCAGAAATTTTTCAATGGGGTGGAAGTGTGACGCAATTCACTGAGGACAGCACGTGTCTCATATCTCTCTGGAACTGAGTCATTGTTTATGATAACTTGTACAGTCGAGGTTTCATGAAATAAAATCTACAAATACACAGAACCTTGCCCAACACATTCATAACACAAGAAGGAAAAACGGTCATTTTAATTTTCTACAGTACATCATGCCATTTTCTTTGCTGTTGCTTTGCTTTTGTGTACTATCTCATAGTTTACTTATGGCTCATGCGTTCATTTGTTAGCTATCAGCCAAATAGAGTCATCAATTGTCACCGACGGCCAATGTCATTTGGCATATTGCGATTAATTCAAATCATATCTGAAGAGAACAATGACACAAATATCTTGTAATTCTTCACAAGTCTAAATGTCGCTTTTTATATAGATTTGTTCCCACTTGTATTATGAGTGTGCTGGGCAAGATTGGTACATGTCTGCATTTTATTTCATGAAAGCTGACTCTGGATGTTGTGATAAACACTGACTTTTCCGCCATGTTGGTTGTTGTGAATGTTGTGAAAGTAATGATTTTGAATGGCGTTGACTGTAACAATCAAATGTTCTTTAGTGAATACAGATTCAGTTACAGTTTGCAGACAAATCCATTTTAAATATACAATTAATATAAATGTTTTGCGGCAGAGTGACAAGGGATCTAACAAACTGCGTTTGTGTGAAAATGGCAGGCCGCCCCAGTGATGAACAAGATTTGTAATTAATAGGATCAAGACACTTGTTTTTTCATTAACCACTTAAGTATTGTCTAACCCCCAACAGCAGAATCATTTATCATCATACCTTGTGAGATACATACATACATACATACATACATACATACATACATACATACATACATACATACATAATACGTTGACTTATTGCAATGATGGCCTTTTTATATGTTTCTCCTTAGTTCACCCAATGGGCCAGGCCTGGTCGCTTGGCCTCAGTATGACAGGCAGAAGCAGGAGTACATGGAGCTTGATGTGAAACAAACTGTTCGACAAAAACTGAAGAAGGATAGAGTCCATTTTGCAACGGTCATTCTCCCTCAGAAAGTGGAAATGTTAGCTGCAACAGCCATATCTGGAAACTGAACTCTAAAAATGGTTGCTTTGTGTCTATTGCTACTACTTCAAGGATGGAGATTGTTTTACACCTCTGCCTCAAATGAGTGGCATGACCCCTTATAACCTTTGAGTAATGATTACCGTACTAGAGTATGTTCAAGTATGTACAAAAAAAACATGGCCTGGTTATTCACCTGATGTACAT